TGCTGCTTAAGGATATTATTTTTTTAAACACATTTTTATTGATTTCAGAGAGGAAGGGAGAGAGATAGAGAGATAGAAACATCAATGATGAGAGGGAATCATTGATCGGCTGTCTACCTGGATGTGCCCTTGATGGGAATCGAACCTGGACCCTTCAGTCTGCAGGCCGACGCTCTATCCACTGAACCAAACCAGCTGGGGCTGGAATATTCTTATTTAGTGGAGAATAACAGTAGGTGATGGAAGAATTCCGGAGCTGAAATGCTCGCTGAAGTCAGTGATTCCCAGGACAAACCTATTTTGACAGTGAAAAAACAGCAACACTGTTATATGTTTTTCCATTCTGTTGGGTGAACTGTTTTTTATTCCACAATTGCTTCCTGCCTACAAATTTGTGCATTCTAATACTTTCTCTCTTATAAAATGATGGAGGTAATTGATGGTGATTTGTTCATTTTGAGTCCAAAAATTGGCAAAATAAAAGTCTGCGACCCTTAACAAAAACAGAATAACAGCAATGCCTGATGTTTACAATGTGATTTGCCACTTACAGTCACATCCATGTATATTATTGTAATTTCCACTTGGTTTTTAAAACCTCACTAAAAACAAGGTGGGAAGTGCCACAAATTGCCCTGGACCAGGAACCAGAAAACCTGGGGCTGGGTTAAGTCCTATGGCCTTAAATCCTAGCATCTGAGCTTTAACGGGCGGTATTGACCTTGGGGCTGAGGCCCAGTTCCTTCATTTGCTCGTTGTGCCACTTTGGACAAGTTATCTAATATCTCTGAGCCTCAGTTTACTCTGTTGTGGAAAGATGATCATAATGGCCACTTCCTAGATTTGCTGAGGGGGTGGAGATAATATATGTGGGTGCCATGATCTGCACCTCTCACGGAGGAGGTGTTACTGGCGGGGTGCCCTGAGTCCCCTCCTGTAACTGGTAGAAGTGGAGCTCTTGCTTTTCCTGAGGCTCCCACGGGAGGATGGGAGATCGTGGAAAGCTTTATTGATGATGTAAGATGGAAGGGGTTCCCCTCCAAGGTCCCATCTCCCTTGGTCTTGCCTTGGACACAGTCCAGCCGTGTCTTCAGCAGAGCGAGGACTAAAGCCACTGCCCAGCGTTCCTGCTCCACGGTAAAGCACAGTGCAGTCCCGCATCTGGCTAGCTTAGCTCGTGTTCCCAGCTGCAGTGCATTGGGCGTGGGGTCCACAGGGCTATGAGCCATGTGGTTGCTAAGGCCACATGATGGGCTAGTGCATGGGTGAGTGCAGGACACAGAGTAAGAGACTGCAAGGAAGCAAGAGAGAATAGGAGAGAGAGAATTCCTTTGTCTGGGGATTAGGTATTCCCAAATTCTCGTGGCCTTGCATTAGGGTCCACCCTCCTAGCCAGTGATCTTTATTCCAGGTTAGACGGACAGGCAAGCACCATCCCTACTTCACCCTGACTTCACGGCCCGTGTGCCCATTTCCCCCTCTGTTTGACCCCTCCCCTGTGGTCTGCAGAGAATGGACTGGTGGTGGTTCCCTGGGGGGTGTGACGTTGCAGCTTCCTGGTGAAGCTGCCCAGATGACCATGCTGATCATGTCTGGCTTCCCCGTTGCTTTCTGCCTATTATGAATATTGGCTAGCTAATTATGACAGTGACAGAAGCACTTAATGGTTCTCACTTAGTATTGGCTTTTGGATGAGCCTTGGCAACTGGAACACCTGGCACAGGTGTGGGATGAAGCTCATCCCCTCACGGAGCTGTCTTTTTGACACTCTGCTGGTCCTGTGGCTGTCTCAGTTGTTACTGGCTGAGCGTTTCCTCATGAGTCTGAGTCCCAGGGAGCCCTCCTGCACCTGCCGCAGGAAGTGTGAGTGCAGGGAAAGAGGCCTGCCCCGGCCATCTGCTGTGGCCTTGGCAGGGGGAATGTCCTAGAATCCTCCCTCCTTCGTGGCTACCAGGCGGCCCCAGCCTTCATCACGCAGTGGCTTGTGCTTCTTATTTGGAGCCAGACATGAGAAGTCCGGGAGCCACTGTGTGTGGGGCTGGGTAGGGCAGAGGAGAGAGAAAGAGCCTGGGTGGTGGTCGGGAGACCTGGGCCCCTTCACTGACTTGCTGTGCAGCCTCAGCTCCTGCCTGTGGCCCGCCTTCTGTCCCGCCTCTGCGCGCCCTGGACTTGGAGTCCCTTAGCTGCTCTGGTTTTCTGTTGCTGCCTCTTTGGGTCCCGTGGTCTGCATGTCTTTCTGTTCAGCCCTGTCCACGCCACTCCACGGCACAGCTAACACCGACAGAGTGCTTCCAGCCTGGCCACCACGGTGCTGGGTGCGAGCCCTCAGGGCACTAAGCATCTGCTCCTGGAACCTCATTCCTGGTCCTCCATCCAAAGGAAATGGTGCCATTTTTCACAAACCTGAGCTAGAAACATGGGGCCCTACTAGACTTCTCCATCTCTGTCACCTTCCAGAGCGAGGTCAGACCCCTGAGAGTATCCATTCTACCTCCCGCAGATCTCTCCGCGCCTCCACCCCTCTCTGTCCCCCGTCCCTCCTCTAGCCAAGGCCGCCATCTTCTCTCTCTCAGGCCGGTCCATCCTCCCTCTGCTGCCTCCCTGCCTCCAGTCTCTCCCACTCCAGTCCTCCCTCCAGAGTGTCAGGGAGACCTTCACAGGAGGCA